ATGAATGTTCACAACAATGACCGGCTTTTCAAGAAATTTTCAATTTATTATATTTTTTCAAATTTAAACTTAGTATGTGGAATTAAATTTCTAGGCCATGAAAATAAAAAAAAAAACACAAATGCGTCCACTTAGAATCTCGACTTACATTGCATGTATTCCTACTTATATGTAGCAATTATGGGAAAGATAAAGAGGCAAATACGATTATTGAAAACTAGTAATGATGTATGCATATTTGTACTTGTTATTTCATTATAAATGTTTCATTTTCCTTGCTTTGCTTTTAAATAAAATCATAGACATTGGATACAACACAGAGCACCATAATTGAAAGTTTTCCTATCACATAAATATTTTGTATTTTGTACACATCTAAGTATATGTGTTTGCTCAATAAAACTAGCCTTAGAATAATTTTCTATATGAATCTTTATAAAAAATGTTGAAAATCCGCTTTTACAATTATAAAATTAACAAAAAAAAACAAAGAACAAAAAATTGTTTTGACAAGAAAGTGTCCCAATTGCAAGGTAATTTTATTGGGTATTTTTCCACTTTCGTTATAATCACCTGTTTAAAATAGAATTTTAAGTATACGTTATATACATACACAAATGTAAATATTTAAGAATGAACGTGAAATCTTACAAAATAACTTTCATTTATCATAAATCCAATAAATCAATGCAGGTCTTACGTTTATATTTTTATTGTAATTTGAAAGAATTGAGGTCAAAAGAATTTGCTTATTTAATTACAACATTTTTGGTCTTAAAAGTTATTTTATTTTTTTTTGTGATCAATTTGAAATAGGGCATGAGAGTGTCCATAAGTCCAATTCATATTATATTCTTAAATTTCAAATTGAAAAATTAAAATCTCGATATATGTATTTTAAAATCGACAAATTTTATCGACTAATCGAATATACTTTCTCCCTCGGTTCTGTCATGAAAATTGTTATTTCCTCGAATTGTAGTAAAAATTTTAAACAAAAACGAAATAAGAATTTATTTGAAAAAAAAAAAATTCTTGAAAATGCAAATATTTTGTGTGGAAAGTAAAAGTGTAGAAGTAAAATATAATAAAAACAATTTTGCAACTCTAGTGCGAATCAAAGAATAATCTGATGAAACCAAAAAGAACCTGATTTATAAAATAATTTATAATATTCTAATGTGGTAGACACTTTAGCCATCAAAATTTCTATTGAGGTTTTTGTCTTATAACGTTTCCAGGTTGGTGAGCAAATATGTATGTTCATAATCCAATAAAAGAAAGTAGCCACGCACAAATAAGTACTTACATTATAAGTAATAAAAATATTAATGAGAATATTCAATGATCTTTCGTTTGAATTTTATAGTTATTGTTAAACATGACAAATTAATAAGGGTTTATGAAGATACGCATTTGTAATTGCGCATATTTCATATTTTATTGAAATGTGGCTGTAATTATTAATTAAATTAAATTTAAATAGATTATGTAAAATGTTTCATATTCAGTTTACTGTAATCGGTGTTTGTAAATATATTTTTATTTTCTATGGTCTATATATATGTAGATAACATAAGTACACATATACATATGTTCACATTTGGCTGCACATATTAAGTGATGAATCACGACACGACTATATTTAAAAATGTGATAAAAAGGATTGTTATTTTTTACTCTGGCTTCACTTGTTGTTTGATTATTTTATATCTGATGAATAGTAAAACGGAATTTTTATATTTAGAATTGCGTATGCATTAAGAATGCCCTTTTTGTACTGACTAATAGTGTTGAAAGTTGGTTCTGAATAATTCTTCTATTCTGATACAATAATGAGAACCAGGAAAATCTTTTAAAGTATTAAAAGAAAATTCTCTTTTATTCGGAATCGAATGTTTATGTTTACTGATATATTTCGTGCGCTACATACTTAATCAAAATTTTGATTTTGATGAAGACATATTTACGTACTTCTTCAAATAACTGACTTTCTTCTAATTTAAATAACAAAAAAATATAACTTACCTTTAACTCCAAGTTAACTTACTTATCCCAAATTTTGTTTTTTATTACTTTTATATATTAAATTTATTACAAACTAAATTAAACACTAATATAGCACTTGGCGATTTCGGCAATTTCGTGAGTTTTGGGTCTATAACTAGATCTATTTGCTTATGGAAATTTTATCTCGAACTTTTGTAAACGAACAAGCGAAGAGCGTGAAATTAACAGATTCATTTGAAATTTTCTGGAAATGTGCTAAAAAGAAAACACCTTTAACATAATTTTAATATTATTTTAAGATTGATTAATTATGGATTTTAAAGTAGTAAAAAATTCCAGCGATTGAAAAATATGGTCACGTGTTAAGTTGAAATAAACAGTTGAAAAAACTTGAAACTTTTAATAAATTTCTGATCTTAAAACTCTTAAATTTATTTTAAAGAAAAAATATTTTGCATTTGAAATTAATTAGATAGATTTTTAAGAAATAGATCTATTTTCTATTTAAAAAATTTTCCCCATATCATGAAGATCATCATCTTTTTTTCTCTTTTTCCACTAATGTGTGCTAAATCCCCAAACAAAAAAAATGTTAAAGAATATTTAAATATAATGCACATGGTATTCAATAAACATACATTAATTTATGTGAAATATAAATATGTATATATAGCTGTTCTTATATAAGTTATGGTTTATAAACGATAACGGATTCCTTTACAAGTATATAGTAATTGATAGCACTAATATATTAGAAAAATAAAAATTAAAAATTAAAAATAAGAATACCGTAAAAGTAATAAATCTCAGTGTTAAAATAGACAACAAATTGTGCAATAAATTAACGGCTATTCTTTATTCCATTGAATTTTTTTCTCATTTCTTCTTTTAATAATTTGGAAAATATTTGCAGTTACTAATTTATATTAAATTAATCGAATTACGTTAATTTCTATTTAAAACTATCCACACTTATGATTTATTAATGAGAAAATAACATGAAAATGTTTTTACCGGTACTTATATAGTCTTGCGTGCTTATAGCGGGTATATTAAGAAAAAATTTCAAAAAATTGTTGAAATAATATCGAGTTGAATAAGACTAGCATGCATTTTTATTAACATTAGTCCAATTCTCCAGAAATTACGTAACTGAAAGGCGTCCATAATTCTTTAAGAACAAAAAATTTTTTAAGAAAATTTTCTTTTTCAAGAGCATTTTTTGCATTATTTTCAAACCAAATTGCCCTTTGCAAATAAAAGATGGCCCTTAAATATTTACGTATTAAAATTTAATTTAGTCATATTAACTGGGATCCTGTTCTAATATATTAAAAGAAATAATTAATTAAAAAATATTGTCCAAATGGAATGATGCAACTAAAATTTAGCTTGAGTTAATTATATGCGAAGCCTGTAAAGTTAATTAAAAACAAAAAGCTATAAAAGAGAATTAAAAAATATTAGACTATACTTACATACGATAGTCCACAATTCTTTATATTCGTAAACATAAAATGAATAGCTAGAACATAAAAAAATGTAGCGGTCAAATAACCTTGTTACACATCAAGTACTCGTATTATGCTAAAAAACACACAATAACACAATATTAAAGCAATATACACTACAAATGGACAAGCATTCATACAATTCTATGTATGTATATAATATGTACTTAGAAAATAACTGCAAGTGAAACAAAATACCACTGGTTTGTTTAAATGTTTGTATGCATTTTTCTTTTTCTTCTCTTTTCCATTCAACTATTCAATTCCAACCACTTTGCACAAACAAATTTGCTATTTATTTACAAGAATATTTTTTATTTTAAAATTGTTAATATTGTGTTGTTATGCATTTGAAAAGCTCACTACAAAAATTCGTGGTTGGCTACATTTAATTCTGTTAGTTGCTTCCTTTTCTTTTACTTTACTTTGATTTTGTTTTGATGTTGTTGTCTTCATGATAATTACTATTTTATGTAGTTGTAAAGAAATTTATCTTAGTACACGAGAGGAAAGATAAAACACAATTTTGAGCTTAAGAAAAGTTTATATAAAAATGAATATAAGAACAATTAAACAATTCAGGCTGTTGGTAACTTTGCTGTTTTGTGAAAACCTTTTGTTTTTGCCTTTTTTCATTTTTTCATTTTATTGAAGTTTCGACGAGATCCGGAAGACCACAACTTCGCCGCCGTGAGAGCAAAGTTTCCCAGTTTTTCGTGCCTTTTTTTTAATAGAATCAGTAATAATGATAGATTCATTTTTACAGCCACTTTTGTCTCAATTGACAGTACAGTAAAGCAACATTACAATACTGTCACTTGAGACTTTCTGAGTTCAACTGAATTATTTATAAATAGTTCCTAATTGTTTTAAATTTGGGCGCAATATTATGAAAGCTATCGTTAATGGTTTTATCACCTTTGGAACACTTACATCATTACTTGGGAATTCAGCAATTAAAACATCTATACCAGTTATTTTGTGGATGATGTTTTTTAATTATAAAGTACGGTGTTCTCTTTCAAATTGATGTAAATATTTAAATCTTTTTAACGTTATTTAAAGCCTCTACAATTCTGAACATGTCAAAGTGTTGATTTCTATATCCACAAGTTTTATTTGTTGCAACGTTTACATAATACTTATTTATATCGCCACCAAATCAGTCTTCCTTTGTATCACCAAATCTAAATATACAACTTGACATCAAAAAATTCAAAATTCTTTTGTCAATAACTTTCTTTTTCTTTTATTTTTACATTATAAGCAAGATCTTTGACTATAACCAAACCTACGAAAGCCATAAAAATCAAAATACGATTATTTTATGATGAAGTATAAGTAGTTTTATCATAACAGTACGCGTTGTAGTAATGCAGCTTTAATAATAGTGAGGGAATTTTTTTTTAATTTTATTTTTTTAATTTTAAAATTTTTAATGTATTTAAAAAGTTTAGTTATGTTTTAGAAGTGAAATGATATGCTTTAAATTTTTTGCTTGTTCGCGGTATGGTGCGTTAATGCAAATGATTGATTAAATATATTTTAATTATGAGGCGGGTGGTAAATTATAAAAATTTAATTTAATTATAACAAAAAAATTTGAGTAATAATTGAAATAAAAAAAAATTTAATAATATTTTAATATTGCCGAATTTACGGGAAATATTTATTAATATTTATAAAAACAAACATAAAAATAATTTTAACTAAAATATATGAAAAATTTAAAAAGTAAAAAAACACATTTATAATTTAGTATTGATAACTGAGGAATTTCATTAAGAAGAAAAACAAAAAAGTTAAAAAATTTTTTAACAGGTGAAAAATATTTTTTTATAGTGTATTGTTTTTGTTGTTTGTTTTGATTATTTTTTTAATAGCAAAAAAACTATAATTGAAAATTTCCATATTTTCATGTAGTGAATTCCATTCTTTCATAAAAGTTGTATATGTACATACATAGGACATGTATAGAAACATGTGTATGACATTAAGAGATGAAAAAATGTGTGTAAATAATTTTTCGTAATACAAGATAACAATATTAAAATATTAAAGTATTTTATAAACTAAAAGGATATAAGTACAATATGAGCTAAATGAAATACTTAACATGCATATAACATACATATCCAGACGTACATACTTAGTGTACATACATATTCGCTTAATGCGATTGGGGTTTCAATTACGACGATTTATACAAAAATGACAACGACCTCAATAGCAACAAAAATGAATTGACGGATATTACTTATATTTAAATGGATAAACGAGTATTAAGATGCACATGTATAATATGGAAGATATCTTCATTTGCTATATGCGTGCCATACATTTTTTATACAAAGCTATTGATATTCTTGAATATTATAAATAAGTATTTTGTATTCATTCAGAGTACATAAATATCTATAAATATATAGATACGAGTATATATATATATGTGTATAATTTACTATATTGAGAGGTAAAAGTTAATAAACATTGGAATTGGTTTTCATTTTATTATATTGTAAGTTTTCTTTTGGATTGACTTAGGAAAGTTATACGTACGTATCTATACTCTTATTATTACTTATAGCATTGAAATAAAAGTTGCAATAAGAGTCAATATAAAGAACAAAGAAAAAAATATTTTTTCAATATGGAAAGCATTCATTAATTTCGCTTATACATATGTAAGTATATACATACATATGCGCATAATACGCGTTCAAATGCCAAATTAATTTTAATGAAAAATAATTTTTTATGCAAAAAAAAAAATCATAATGAAATTAAATATGAAAATATTCATTTTATACGAAAGTGAAAAAAATTATAAAAAATGAGAAATGGTCATTCTAAATGAAAGCAAAGCCGTTTTCCAGAGATATTGCATTCAATTACTGTTATTAAAAGTAATTAAAATTTTCGAAAAAAAAAAAATTAAAATGCTTAAGTTCCATCTCTCATCATTTTTAACATAACCCGTTATAAGAACATAACGCATAAAATTATATGGGACGTGACTATCTACGATGTCATACAATGGCTATCTACGATTTCATTCACTCCGGAATTTCGTTAACACTGCCTTTAATCTTTCAATAACAATTTTCCTCATATGCATATCAAGGTTTTTAAGAATGTCCGAATAAATCTGTATTAGAATAAAACCTATCTCATTAGTATTTTTATTTATTAAAACTTTTAATTATTATAAAACTACAAACCAAACCTTTTTTATAATTATTTTATTTAAATTTTTTTAATCTCACTTCATTTGTCTTGCACAATATAATGATTTTCAACCACCCAAATTTCTCAAATATAAGTAAGAAAATAAAAACACACATAATTAAATTAAAAGGTTAAATGATTAACCAATTACATAACGTTCTCAACTATAAATTCATGCAAATTATTATTCAATCGTTAAAATAAAATGTTCAAAAATCAATTTACACAATATTTAAATATTATAAGTAGTATACTAGCGTTATGTAATCAATTAACCGAATCATACAACATATATCAGTTAAATATAAAATATACCAGTATATTAACTTGTATAACAATTTTGAATTTCTGTAAATTTATTAATGAAAATTGTTATAATTATTATTTTTAAAAGAATAATAACAATTTCATATTCCTGCATTTAATGCTTAAATTTGCAAAAATTAATAGTATTAATAATGTAAGTTACTAAGTATAGAAAACATAAATTACAATGTATAACAAAAATTCAAAATTTTTGATTTACAATTGTATTGTATGTGTGTATATGCAATTGTAATCACGAAAATTTTTTAATATAATAGTGTGAATAAAATTGATAAGTAAGTAATCATAATCCGAATAATTTTAAAAGTCTTATAAAACAATAGAAAATAAGAACATGATCGTATTTTTAATTATATATAAAAAATTTCAATTTACAATTTCATAAGCGCATAAAAAATTATTATTTTATTTTTTTTTAAATTCCATAATAAACGAGTGATAATAAGAAGAAGACACACACATTGCATGTGATATGAATGACTGCTATAAATAAACAGTTAAAAATTTTGGTTTTAATTAATTCGAATTTATTGTTATTATATAAAGTAATTATTTAATTAGCGAACTACTGAATTCATCTAACCATCTAAGTAGAACTGCTTTTCCTGACAACATATTTTGTATGTAAAGTTATGCATTTAAAACTAGTATAGTAAGAAATTATAAATTATGGGTAAATTTATAATAGCAGCAGTTAATTGATAGCTAAATATTATACATTACTGCGATAACATCACCAAATAAAGTTTTATTTTAAATCATAATTTTGATTGAAATTTTTATTTTAAATTTTCATAACAAAATGGAAAAAATCTTATTTGTATGCGTTACGTATAACACTTTAATTTTTTTTTTTATTTTTTATATGAAGTTTTTCTCAACAAAATATTAATTAAATCAATTGTTTGACTTAAAAAATAAATTTAGCTTTAGTGATTTTAAGTTCGTATTGATGTAAGCTTATACAATAATGCAACATTTTTAATTAAATTTTAAAATAAAAATATTATATGGGTCGATTATACTTACTGAAAAACTGTAACAATTGAAAATTTTGTTAATTTTTAAAATATTGTTATGCGGAAAACCAATTAAAAGAGCTCAGAATGGAGGATTATATAATACGAAAAAGATTGAAGATTAGGTGTTATTTTAAAACCAAATTTTTTTAATGTTCCAATTCTGCTATCGGACGATTTACGTTAGTTACATGAGGATTATTACTTTTAATAGTACTTTACATACATATGTAATAGTTGAGAGTAGTCTGTAAATAAAATTCTATTTCTGTTATAGAATAAAAAAATTAACCTATACCAAAATTCTCTGAAGCTCACCACTGCTTCCCTGCTACTAATCTTTAATTTTTCGCGTTCCAATACAACATTAACCCATTCCAACACGACTAATTTTTTAAAACCCCAAAAATATCAATTAGATCAACAAGTGATCCACATTCTTGAAGTTCGAACTTTGGGAGATTTCTTTCTCCCATGTTAGAAACTACTGAAAATTTTTTACATTAAATAATAAAAGTTTTTATTATAGTAAATTAAAAGTGTTCTTAATATCATTTAATATTCTTCATTATTTCACATTTTTCAACATATTGTGTACTTTAAAAATTTTTTCAATTATTTGCTTAAATTGTCATGCTTAATTCCGAACAATTTTGAAAAAAAAAAAAACATTTTTTTTATTTAATAAAATATGTGTAAATATATGTATATACGAGTATATAAATGTATAACAAACACTGTTAAAAATAACGATGTTTTCCATTCTTAAAACTTAAAAGAAAAGAATCTTAAACATTTAATTTGTGCACGTTTATGATAATTTTTTTTATTTTAAAATATGAAACAGAAATATGTATGTATGTACGAATATTAAAAAAAATTTGCTAAAAATAGTTAGGAATGGTGGTAATGGTGTGATACTATACGGTTATTAAATTTTTTTTTGATATTTGTTTACTATTTATTTTATTTTCATTTATCGCAAATTATTTTGAAATTTACAATCATTATTGTTTGAATTGGTATAGAGTAGCATTGAAATTCTTTATATAACATAGCTATTATGAATTAAATTAGAAAATTAAATTTTTTTATGCCTTTTAATTAATATGATACCCATGTGTTTGTTTCATAATAGGTTTTTTTCCATGTTTTCCTTTAAAAATAAAATATTTACTTTAGTTTGATCTCTTATTTAATGCCGTTCTTCGTTTCAATTAGGATTTTTAAAAACAAAATTTACTTATTTTAGTGGTTGTAGTTTGCATTTCCACCGCATTGTATCTAGCAAGTTTTTTTTTAAACGGTATATAATATCGTTTTTTAAAATTTGTATAAAAATAACTCTAAATTTTAAAATTGATGGGATTATGCGTCGGTTGTGTCAGCTTACTGGTCGTTTAGTTAAGGAGTTTGAGCAAAGAAGGTGTGAGAACACATTTGTGTTGCGTTTCAGGCGTGTCCTCACGATGCATCTTAAATGAAACCTAGTTTAATGACGGTTTCTTTAATGGCGAGCTCCTTTGCCTTAACTTTGAAGTACTTCGCGTCGATAGGCCATTACCCTATGGTTCGAGGATTCGCCGTGTGCCTTCAAAACATTGTGTTGGTGTGCTGCAGCATGTGTATTTTGGGTTGTTATTGTTCTCCGAGTTTGGTTCTGCCCAAAAGGAAGTTGAACTTCGAGTCATTGTCACCATAATGATTACACATTAATTGATATGGACGAGGTGTGTGGGGTGGAGTCTAATTTTGATTTACGTAGGATGGATTTCAATTTGCTGAATCATCTGATTAACTTGATCGACTTCGATACTGTATTTCCTGCTGTCTGTGCTAGCGGTATAGTCCAATAGTTTTATGTCCACTTGCTCGGTTGTCTTTGTTGCCCTTTTTGAATTTCTTAATAATTTTGATCGTGTGAGGTGTGACATTTTGTGACATACTCGTGTTAGCAGCATACCTTTGGTTTGGGTTGTTTAGTTTTTAATTTATAACATTTTTCATAGTAATATTAAGTAATGTAAATTTGATAACATAAAATTTTGATAGCCAAATAATTACTTTTCTTGTAATTTTTTTTTGTCTTTTATAATAGAAACTTGCAAACTCTTACTTTTTAACTTTATCTCGCCTTTCATTAATTTAATTTTGATAAACTAAAAGGCAAAAAAATGTTTTCTAATTCATATTTCGTTTTTAAACAAAGTTGTTACTCGTAAATTTCTAACTTTTGATCTGAAAACA